TGGATAACATTTATTGTGATTCCCTCCTTCTTTATTTTGAAGGATGCTTTGATGATTCTGGATCCATGAGATTCCCATCCTACAAGTGCATTTCGTGCTTCTCTGGACGTCATTATAGCAACTCCGTGAATGTGTGGAGCATTTTCCTCTTCGTGACCGGAGTACAGAAGCATCTCTCCCGTATTTAACCTTTGCTATCCAGCTTGGGTCCAATGGGTTGTGTTGATTTCGAGTACTGCCAAGTTGTATCTCCTCATTTCCGTTGCTATTTGACTGGTCTCCCACATTGTCCGGAAGTTCCATGTACCTATATTGATTGTTGCTCTGGTCGTTAGAAGGGGTATCGTCCTCGTTACTTCTGAAGAATCTCGGCTTTCATCCTGAGGCGTCATAATTCTTCCTTCAACTCCCAGGGTAGAGTTTAAATGGTTTAATTTGTTTAATCTGGTTGGCGTTTTTTTATCAAGATTTTTCCACGGGATGGGGTTGTCAACCCTTCTCATTTACCCGGACTTTTAATATATATTTAACAATTATGAGCATAGGAATTTAAACCACATGTTTTTATTCCAAACAGAACCAACAAATTCTGCTCAAATGTTAAACCAGCCAAAGAAACAGGACCAGCGGCATAGTAAACCATCATTTGGTGTAAAGAAACATCAAACTGCTTTTGCGTCATGCGTTCAACCCATAGATCGTGCCGCTGGATATTCACTAAACGTGTATTTCTACCCTTTTTTCAAAATTCTCTCCTTAGACTGTCTTATCGATTAAGCCTATACTTGCTTAATATGCACTAATCGTCAGAACGCATTGATAAATCGAACTAATTTTTCCATATGATTTGTTCAAGATGATGCTTCAGATACCTTTTTAATGAAAAGTAATTTTCGTCTCAAGCTGACATCAGTTGCAGAGCCATTTTAGACTTGAGACAACTACTTCGTTCTAGTTGTGAACCCCTCAAAAATCTAAAGCTACTGTGGTGTGGTCTACTTATATCCATATAAGTAGTATATAGTGTTGGTCAGACATAGAATGTATTTTGGCAGAAAACCGATGACGAAAGGACTGGAATGAAAGAAAAAACAGTAAAGATTGGAACAATTGGTTGTTAATTTGCAAATTGACTGTTCATTTTTTAGTTATCAGAATTTACTGAGATAGTCTGTAATCTTTGTTTAAATACATTCGATTGTCCCCAACCAGTGTTCTGTTCACTACACTACTACCTCATACGAGTTGAGATCCTTTAAAGTTAAACTCAGTAGTGAACATTATATTATTCAATAGAAATTCAATCCATATGTTTCCAACTTTAGTCAATTTGTTATGTAGTATGATTTCATTGTTGTTGAGTTTCTACGCTACTATAAGTATGTATATCTCTCAGAAATGTATTGCGGAGGTCTAAAGACATATTCATCCATTGTCCTCGAAATCCCTCGTCATTCAGTCTTGATAAATTGCAACACAGTTGAATGGAGCTAATACTAACCTGTTTTTAGAGTTTTATGAATTAGGGTAGCTAAAAGCAATATCTGAAGCTAACCATTTCATCGATTGTGTTAGAGTAAAACATTCTAAATAAGAATATTCACATAATTATCCTTTCATCTGTTACATTATAGTCATTCTAATTTTAGGAACCTGTTTCGACTGTGAATAGTTCTCCCAAAAATATGGACAAACTAAAATTACTATCTAGAAACTATGAAACCTCTTCGTCTTCAGATATTTCATCTGACAGTGAACCTGAATTAATTGAAAAACCTGTAATCCAGAAAGTATGTTTTTATTTCCATCTAGTAGTGCGACTTTTTTCAGCCTAAGGATCCAGCCTTTTTAATTCCACCCGACTATATCTTACAGTCAGTGAAAGACTTGGTAATTTTATACACTAGTGTAATTTGTATTTTTTAAATCTCTTAGACTGCAGATATAAAGGTTTCGTTACTCGGGAAAATCTCTCAAGTTTTTGATAAATACGGTAACCTTTTGTTCTTTGCACCAGTTTTAAAATTAACATATTTAAATAATAATGTGATACCGAACATTGTGTTCAGTAATTGCAGATTTTTTCAATATGAATTTTGTCAATGGCATACTACTAATTTGATTTCGGATATGTAAATATATGGTTATGGTTTACTGAGTTCCTATGATACTGTCTCGTCGGAAGTTTTATGGATCGTTTCTGTGCGTATAATAGTGCTAATCGTGAGTGTCAGAAAAGTGTGTGGAATACACGAACAGTTTTAAGAATAATCTATTTTCACCTAATTTATCTCAAAGGTTTATTTTACTGTTACATTTTATCTAATTCACTTTACTTTTCAGTTGTCATCCGTTCCATTAATTCAGCAGTTGTATTGAATGAGCGATCTGTGCTTTTTCTAGAAGACGGCAAGCATTTGGGTGAGGTGAGTGTCCCTTTATTCTCAATCGGTCGACGTTATCAGTATATAGGTCATTGTAGTTGTTTCAAAGAATTAGTGAATCAACATTGATTTCTCACCAAATATTATTTTTAATTATTATGTATTGATTTCGTTAACATCTGTATTGGACCTTGTATAGCCCTACTCATTGATCTTTCATGAACATTCGACGGTCAAATTAATGATTTAGACATTTTGATTACATACGACATTTAACCATACCATGAACCATTAAGTTAATAAATGTACCTATAACCAGTAAAGTAAACCTGGATATACCCCCAAATGCTTTGGTACGTCCGAGAGTGGGGAGGGTCCGCTCTCCCTCTTGAAACGCTCTCACATGGCCACGCGTATATAACCTCTGCCAGGGAAGTCCTACTCATTGTCTTCTCGTGGTGGGGGTGTTGTTTACAAATTCGAGAGCACGAAAAGCGAATGTCCGGCGCTTTAACCGGATTGGTGGACAAGGGAAGTCCACCTAGGGAAGTTTGAAGACCCTAATTCCATACCAGTGGTGCACATGGGCCCCAGTATCCTGAAGGAACAAATGGCGTATAAACCAACTATTAGACACTGGTTACCATGGGACTGCATCTCTTGATGTTGCTCCACTGCCTTGTGGGTTAGACTTTTAGGTCAAAGGCTCCGGGTGTGGCCTCCCTAAGAAAACCACCCTCTTCGGTTTGGGCACCTGAGCAGTATCACAGCCCTCACACAAATCAGATGAGATTTGTGTGGCGCATATGTATCTGGTGCTTCCTTGTATCAATATTTATGTGTTTAAATAAATAAATTTTGTTCTACCCGTCAGACCGTAGATTCTCTTATTGGCTGAGATTTCACACGCTGAGATCTGAATATCTCGATGGATAATCAAAGAAATGTTTAGGATGCTCACCTCACTAATCCATCACACAATCATGGCGTATATTTGACTAATTTTTTAATGGCGCGTATACATTGGAGCAATTCTCTTTGTATTCTTTTTCAGATTTAACATATGTTTACTAATAGTGCTAGAGTTGTTTAGATTAAAAGCATTTGACCATGTATGTCATCGAAACATTTAGCGTATAACATAACCACCCAGAAGGTGGCGGCTTTAACACTAGGTAGTTGAAGCTAATCGGGGAAATGATTTTGAACTTTGTTAAGTCGGCTTACAGTAAACTCTATCAGAGCCTCCAGAGGCTCATAAAGAGCCCAGCCAATCAGCGATTAGTTAGAAGCTATGCTACTAAAATAACGAGGTCCTGATTGGCTGTTTAACACACTGCTACTATGGAAACTCAAGGTCTTTTAATTACTATGATATCCCTATTTTTCTGTACATAAATGAACCTTGCAGTAAAGTACTTCTCTTATAATCGTGTTTTCTATCTGGTCTTCAAGTCGTTGAATAGTTCTAGCCTGGGGTTTTTCAGAATAGCTTAGGAACTGAATATAGCGTTCAACCTACAAGATATAACAAACTTAGCTTGTTGGTATTCGACACTCACCGATTAAGTGTTTCCTGTTATCTTGGTGTGACTGGTGCTTTCCACCATATTCATTCCTAGGCTAAGTCAAAGAAGCTACCGTACCGAAATATTAAGAACTGAACCTTTACACTACCTAGTGTTTGATAATTAACTAAGTTGTGTTGTTTCGTTCTTAAAATTGACCAAAGTTTACGGATGAAAATGCCATGTGGTCCAAATTTTATCTTCCTCTAAATCCTAAACACCAGACTCTAAAGTTTTCATTCCACATTCTTATTAATTTCTTTCACTTTAATTTTCTGCTTTTGTCTATGTAGTTGCTTTTACTCTTTCCTCCGGCAGTTGTGTTAACGTTAATCGTCTCAAGCTGAACAAAAGTGTATTTTTCTCAAATCTTGTATTGATTTTGTCTATCTACAACTTATATCTTACTGCACGGATTTGTACTTATCTAATGAGTTGCATTTGGTTGACAAGTAACATATGTGTGTCATTCATTAATTAGTGTATATACCTCCCTTCGGTCTAACCAACATCATTCTCATCTGAACATCAGCTGTATCTCACAACCTGGAACAAAATTTATTTATTTAAACACATAAATATTGATACAAGGAAGCACCAGATACATATGCGCCACACAAATCTCATCTGATTTGTGTGAGGGCTGTGATACTGCTCAGGTGCCCAAACCGAAGAGGGTGGTTTTCTTAGGGAGGCCACACCCGGAGCCTTTGACCTAAAAGTCTAACCCACAAGGCAGTGGAGCAACATCAAGAGATGCAGTCCCATGGTAACCAGTGTCTAATAGTTGGTTTATATGCCATTTGTTCCTTCAGGATACTGGGGCCCATGTGCACCACTGGTATGGAATTAGGGTCTTCAAACTTCCCTAGGTGGACTTCCCTTGTCCACCAATCCGGTTAAAGCGCCGGACATTCGCTTTTCGTGCTCTCGAATTTGTAAACAACACCCCCACCACGAGAAGACAATGAGTAGGACTTCCCTGGCAGAGGTTATATACGCGTGGCCATGTGAGAGCGTTTCAAGAGGGAGAGCGGACCCTCCCCACTCTCGGCCGTACCAGGGCATTAGGTGGCCCTGAAACATAATCTAGTGCACAGTAACCAAGGTATATTTAGTACTAAACAGTCATTTGTAAACCATATATCATTTGTTCCAGGAACCCTCTCCAATAAATAGTCTTAGTAAGGCGACTGGAAAGCACAATCTGAATGTATGGAAATGAAGATATAAAAGCGAACTTTCATCAGGACCCGAAACAAGTAGTTTATGGAGTAATCATCAACAAATCTTATAGAATAATAAATGACCTCTCATTTAGTTATTATCAACACAGCTTGCCATAAATAGGTATCGACCAAAGCTTCCACATAAGAGTACGAAAAGATGAAATTAACAAGTTGAAATAATAGTAATATCAATAATAGTTGGGTTAAACACAAAATATAATTCGAAAAAAGGAATGAAATAATAGAAATAGAAAGTATGTAAAGTAATATGAAAACTCAAGATTTAGAGGAAAATAATGAATTAATGTTTCTGTTCAACTACGGTCAAGTTCAAATTATGTCACTCGACTTTTCCAACGAATGGCGCTATCAGATCGTCACGAAGATCTTTTAATAAACATATTTAACGTTTGTCAAAACCGAACACCTTACATTGTACGTGTCTTTATATTAATTTCCCATGAGATACGTTACGTGCTGAGATGTGCTGTAAAATAATAGCATAGCATCGAGTTATATTTTTCTTATGTAGCTAAACTTCATACTTTCAATGGTGAAATTCTGAGCTGTTGCTCACACTAAACATTATAGTTCATCCTAATACAGCCATGTTTTCCCATCAAACATTTAAAATGAGATCTTCGAACCTAAGTTTCATGTATTTAAATGATTGGACCTTAACTGTTTGGTAAAGTTGTACCCTTACAATATAAGCACTCAACTTCCAGCCATGGGTTCAAACAAAGCCTGTTTGAAGCGAACTAGTTGGTGCCGTCGTTATTGTGGTACAACAACCTTGTAGGTGGCTGTAGAGTTCCAATATATGTTTGTATACAAGTCTGAGATCGCTACAATCAACGGAAATGGACGAGATAGAATATCGTGTAATTTGTTCCATTCACAAATTTAGATAAGCCGAAAACCACGATGAATTCATTTCGTTGCTTTCTGTCCAGCTGTATAAAATGTAGTAATTTGTTTCAACATACTAACATAATTTGGTATTTCAAAAAGATAGTAGTGCTTGGATTTGTCTCAGCCATGTCGTAAAAGTTATGAATGGACCAATGTGCTCAAGACTAGAAAACACCTGTAAAACATACGTGAATAAAAGTTACTGGCAAAAGATAAGAAAAATTCTGTCTATTAAGCCAACACTACAGTATTTCAGAAAAAAACTATTGTGTTAACTCTTCCCATTTCCCTCATACGATTTCAAAACAAATGGGCAAAAATCTAAAATCTACGTTTCACAACCTTACAGAATCAGTAAAATGCAATGGAGTCTTATTCCTATCACACAAGTACATACCTAATACTAGTCACACAAACCCTCAACGTGTTATTGATGGTAGTTACAGGTAATCTGTGGGAAGCCTTGCACGTAAATTTCTTGCTAGTTGTAACTTGCTAACATGGCGTGCCTTTCGAGAAAGTGATACTTCTCGTGGGATTCTAGCCAGCATGGCTCACTGATTTATCAATAAGTAATAATTGATATCAGGTTTGCCTAACCTGTGTATGATTATGAGTTTGATGTAGTGACAAGTTAATTCTCCACTTGTAGTATCTTATAGGCTTGAGATACTAAAGTTTTAAACTCTCTAGACACTTGTATTTTAACTCAGCTTATCAGCCGGACACAATGTTCACATAATTTAGCATTAAGCCATATTTTATGTATCATAGTTAGTGGTATAATCAAATTACCCAAACCAAATAAATAGGTTATATATTGATGATACAGAGTAGTAGGTGTTTGAGCAAACTTTTTGTACTTATATCTATCAAAGGTTTATGAAACATTTGGCCCAGTACGTACTCCATTTTATCTGGTGATCCTTTCCGAATCATTTTGTGTACCCGAGTTAAGAAATGATCGAATCTCAGGTTCACACAATTGTACACTTTCAAAATCAACGAATTATTCTGAAAATTTAGAACCTCAAACACCAAGTGAATCAGTTACTAATACTCAACTTGATAATTACAATTCACCTAATGATAGCAACAGTCAGAATCGTAGTGAAATTGAAATACCAATTACTGACAACAGTAATGCTATCAATTATGAAGAAAAGAGAAAGGTTAATTCTTTATTGAAAGAAGTATCCGTGTTTTATGCACCCGATATGCCTGAACTCACTATTCCTGTCTTTTACAACCAATTAATTGCTAGCAACATCAAAGGATCAGATGCATCTTGGGTAGGCGATACGGAACCACCTCCTGAGGTAAGTTTAAAATCTCAGCATCTTTTGTTAATATGATAGTTCAATAGACTATATTAAGTAATTTTTTCTTTTTCACCCATAATCCAGTAGTAAAACAAAGAAACTTTGACACCGCTTCAAACATTTAAATGTCGTTAATTAATTAGTAGTCGACGCACTATAAATATTTACCTTACAAACAGCAAATAAATATGGTTATAAAAGGTAACCAGTAAGTCCTAACAATCAAGTTCATGTATCATTGTCACTTTCAGATGCTTATGACTCTCGGAGCTATCCATAGTGATATCGATCTAATCATATGTGATCTAACAAAGGATCTATAACAAATTGTAGTATCGCTAAAAAAATTATTAAGCTAACATAATCTGCATTGGTTCAGTTTTTCTGTGTATTATGGTTGGTTATTACTTCCTGTTTTATCCACACCCTTTCGTTATGCGACAAAATAATATCTCTAACTTAATTAGAATACAGTATGGTACGTGTAACCAATTATTGAAGCTGGAGTAGATTATGGTTCTTTTTATAGTTTAAAAACATACTGTTAGATAAGGTTAGCAGATGTGTTCGTTTTCATAGACACTTGAAACTTGGTTCACTCTCGCGAAATTGCAGTATACTGCGTAGGAAATATACTGTTTTATACACTACAAACGTTCTACATGACAGATATGTTTGAAAACTGTTTTTATACACGAAGATTATAAAATACTTATATACAAATACTAGAAACCTATTACTAAAGAGTTTGAGGCTATTCGAAATTCGACACTACTACATTTCACTGTGATAAAAATTTTTCTGTCTGATTGCAGTCAATATATTGGTTTTGACTTAGGCACTGGAATTTTCAGACGATGAACGAGAGAAATTGCATAAACGCGCGCTAAAGATGAAACGAAAATCACAGACACTAGGTGAGTTATTTATACGTTTCCTACAATTGCAAAAGCCTAATTTCGTTTACTATCTAGTTAATACTTTGTTTCGAAGAGGAAAATTGATGTATGAGAGAGTAGTTAAGTAAAATGAAAATTCATATTCTAATCACATTTTGTGGTTAAGTTAATATATATTTAGTCTCCGCTCTTTGTCAATCTAATCTCTACATCAGCGAACAGCCATCGTTTAGGAAATAGCTAAAATGTTGTATTAGACTTGTTAAAGCAACTAAAATTATTGTCTTAAAATAAACTTGGGAAATAATGAATCTGAAAATCGAAGAATTCGGATAGTATGGAAGAAGTAACTAGAAAAATAATCCAGTTGTCAATGAATACAAATGTCGAAACACGTAAACGAACATTAACATGATCAAATTACATTTTCGTATATAAACAGCCTATGAATAACTAGACAAATGTCACTTACAAATGCGTTCTTTTTTTCTCGAAATTTTTATGCATTGTCAGTATTACTAAGTGGATATCATACATACGTACGCCTGTTACTCCTCATGTAGGAGCATAGGCCGCCCACCAGCACTCTCTATCCAACCCTGTCCTGGACAATCCTTTCCAGTTGTTATTCATCCTTTTCATATCTGCCTCTTTTCCGGCGTAATGTGTTCCTTGGCCTTCATCTTTTCCCTGCTAGTTTCTTCGTTGTATCATACAGTTGTTTCATATTCCCTTCTCTTGAAGCTTTTTCCGCCGTCGTTGCTGGTTTTTCCACGTATTTCTGCTTGGCGGCTTCAATTCTCTTCTTCACTTGCTTGTTTGCTTCTGTGTACTCAGCTTGTGCCTTGACATTCTCTGCTTGTGTTTGACTGCTTTTAATTGCTGTCTTCTTGTTCTTCCTTTCTTGAATCTTGTCCAGGGTTTCCAAAGAGACCCATTCCTAATGATGATGCTTCTTGCGGCCTAGAACCTTCTAACCCGTTGAAGTTAATGCTTCTTTGATACCTTTCCAGTTGTCCTCCATAGTAGTTTCTTGTTCGTTCAGTAGATTCTATAAGGCTTGGAACCCGTTGTTTAGAGTTATCTTGAATCCATTGAGTTTGTTAGTATCTCGAAGAAAGGCTGTATTGAACCTTTGTAGTGCTGTTTCCCCAGTTGTGCAGTGTTTCTTTAGCTTCAGTTTCATCTTGGCAACCAGCAGGTGGTGATCTGAAGCTATGTCAGCTCCTCACCTGGTCCTCACATCTTCCATTGTCCTTCGGAAATTTTTATTGATACAAATATGATCTATCTGGTTCTCTGTGGTGTGGTCCGGTGAGATCCATGTAGCTTTTTGTATGCGTTTGTGTGGAAATATTGTGCCGCCTAGAACCAGTTTGTTGAATGCAGATAGATTTGCGAATCTCTCCCCATTTTCGTTTCTCTCTCCCAGTCCATGTCGTCCCATTATATCTTCACATCCGGTGTTGTCCATTTCGACTTTGGCGTTTAGATCTCCCATCAGGATGGTCAGGTCTTTTCCTGGGTATTTTGTTATAATCGATTGCAGCCTCTCGTAGAACTGATCTTTATTGTCGTCGTTGCTATCATTGGTGGGTGCATAACATTGGATAACATTTATTGTGATTCCCTCCTTCTTTATTTTGAAGGATGCTTTGATGATTCTGGATCCATGAGATTCCCATCCTACAAGTGCATTTCGTGCTTCTCTGGACGTCATTATAGCAACTCCGTGAATGTGTGGAGCATTTTCCTCTTCGTGACCGGAGTACAGAAGCATCTCTCCCGTATTTAACCTTTGCTATCCAGCTTGGGTCCAATGGGTTGTGTTGATTTCGAGTACTGCCAAGTTGTATCTCCTCATTTCCGTTGCTATTTGACTGGTCTCCCACATTGTCCGGAAGTTCCATGTACCTATATTGATTGTTGCTCTGGTCGTTAGAAGGGGTATCGTCCTCGTTACTTCTGAAGAATCTCGGCTTTCATCCTGAGGCGTCATAATTCTTCCTTCAACTCCCAGGGTAGAGTTTAAATGGTTTAATTTGTTTAATCTGGTTGGCGTTTTTTTATCAAGATTTTTCCACGGGATGGGGTTGTCAACCCTTCTCATTTACCCGGACTTTTAATATATATTTAACAATTATGAGCATAGGAATTTAAACCACATGTTTTTATTCCAAACAGAACCAACAAATTCTGCTCAAATGTTAAACCAGCCAAAGAAACAGGACCAGCGGCATAGTAAACCATCATTTGGTGTAAAGAAACATCAAACTGCTTTTGCGTCATGCGTTCAACCCATAGATCGTGCCGGTGGATATTCATTTCAACAACAGTCTTGTGGCTTAAGACCTTGCATGCCCATCCAACCACTAAATCACTGGGATATGTATCCGAGCGTTCAACCTCAATGGCAAAATTCAACTTATGGTCGCAATATCTGGCCTTCCTACCCCCCTACAGTACAGAATTCCTACCCATATATACCGCGAGACCCAATGCCGCCACAACCATTTCCATGTCATTGTATGTTTGTCGGTATAGCATTCATTTTTTTAAATATATTATAATTTTCCTCTACGTTGTTAATGTGCTAGAAATCATATACCATGAAACTGTTTGCATAAGTAGTTATTATTATTTAAACACAAAAACGTTGGTACAAGGAAGTGCCAAATAGATATGCGCCACATAAATCGTTCATCCGATTTGTGTGAGGGCTGGGTTACTGTCCAGGTGGCCAAACTAAAACATGAACTATGGTTTTTATATAATTTAGCAACAAACATATCCAAAACCCATTTCTAGATTCAAATCGACAAAATACGTTGTCGAAAGCATTCAGATAATATCAGATCCTAACTGTTTGGAACAAAAAACTTGTTGCTGTTAGCAGTCGGTGTAGGAATTTTGGCTTGTCTTCCAACTTCTCTAATTAGTCGTCTACCAAAACATTGTTTAAATTGCCATATTAAAAAGGAGCTTGTAGAATTTACGATTATACTAATCACCTATAGAACTACAAAGCCAATCGCTTGAATGCAGTTAACGATCTCCTTTGGGATGATAACTTTTTCGGCACTACACGGAGGTAGTTTCAGTATTTTGCTAAATATACTTTTACAAGAACCTTAATTTTTTTCTTTTCTGATTCGAAACAGATCCTCTCCCTGAAGAACCATACCAACAGAATTCATGGTCACCGTATGGTCCATTGTGATTACAAAATTATCCGTTTCATAAACGATTTATGCACAAAATATAAATATATACGTGCATAGCGACGAAGCGATCTTTTTATTATCATATACCAAATATTATTTTACTACCATCTTGGATATAACTTTTAAGCTTGATTGTACACAAGCGTAATTAATACAATCACTTTGAAAACTAAATTGTAGCACCTGAAATCTCCAGCATTACATTTCTAAAAGCATCGTTTGAAAATTTGACTAGTTTTGATGTTAACCAAGTCTTAAGATTATTAATAAAGTTGCCAAAAGTCTATGTCTAACTGAAGCTGGCAAAAACCAGTTATTATGAACTGAATGCATTATTTGACTATTCTCAATGCATATATTTGATTAATTTTACTAAAATACAAAGATTATGAACAAAAAAACATTAACTAATGTCAGGCTCATGAATGTGGAGATCCCGATGAAGTGTAATTCAACTTCGAAAAGGAAAATCAACCATTTAACTTTATTTTTTCTAGTGTACACAAAGTGGAATATGAGTGTTTTATAACAATTCTTAAAAACAAGTGCAATAAAGTTCATGCCAAAAGTTATACATCGATGTTTCAGTATATTACAAAATGGGTTTGTTTGAAAATGTTAGACACGGAATGTACGTACAATGCGGACAATGCTTTGTCTACATAGTGGGCATTCAGTCAGCTTTCTTCCGCAATCAACACAAGAAAATAAATGACCACATTCTAAAAAGACACAATTAATCGGAGCTTCCATACAAACCCCACATTCGTCATTCAAATCAACTGGACATTTATCGGATGGACATCTCTCACTCGATGTTCCAGCATTCTGACAATCTTCAACCTCAACTGCTTCATGAGTTTCAAATATAGCTGTAAAGAAAAAACACAAAACAACAAATTGACCAGTGTTAGTGTGGACATTATTACGGATTCTTATAGAATTGTGATCTGTCTTTCATGCGAATAAGCAAAACTCGATATTCACACTATTTCTATAGGCAACTTAACAAGACAAACTGAGATAGGAGACATTTTAGTCAAATGGTCTGTTTTCTCGCAATCTCAAGACGTACTTTTGTTCTAATCAAAACTATTACTAATAAAGTACATTGCTGTGAGTATTCCTCCGGAGATGACTATGATCCACTACAATAGTTCGTTGAACATTTTCAGCTCAGAGACCTGATGTGTTGTACAGGGCCTCCAAAATACTGTTATTTTCGGGACGCTCGTGCTTAACAGACAATCTTAGAGCGGAATCCGGTCTAACGAGCAGAAAGTGTTCTTGATATTAAGTCATGATTGTTGCTCTGCAAAGTCCTTCACGAGACAAAGATTATTTTTTTACACTCACAAAGGCATCGTCTGAAGCTCATGTAGCCGAGTGCGCTAATCTGACCAAAAGTTTTGGATTTGATTACTCTTTAAGGTGGTTTACGAGTAAGATTTGAAGTTTAGTACGATATTTAAATACGTGTATTGATCACTTTTATGCTGTTTCCGTGAATCATCACTAAAGTCATTAATTAATTTCTCAACAATGGGACTCACGTGGCTGTTGTTGTTTGTAATTGCGCCATAATTGTTTCGCTCTGGCAATAAGTTCAGCTTTTTCCACACAGTGAGTGAAGTCAACAAAATTGTAAACCAGAAGATCTTTGATCTGACGAACAGAGAGATTTTCAATGGATTCTTCTGACATTAGGTCTCCAAGTTTAACGTTGCGTTTTGTTGAGTCTGGAAACTAAGCATAAATTATGATTTCATCGATTGATAAGGTCTAGTAAAAGTGGAAACTATCGATTATTAGGCTATAAAAGTATGTGCACGCCGTTTAGATTCTCAGTGGATATGAAAGGATACATAACATTCCAATTAAGGCAGACGTTCCAGGATAAGCCAATAACACCAAATTAATAAGCCACACTTTTGCTGACGTCCTGGAAGTGAGGGTTTTAGGATATAAGAACAGCAATAATGTGGGACAAACCAAATTTAGAGAATGTTCTAGACGAATTCCTCTAAAGGGTCATATTCATCATTCTGTTAGTATCCGCAACGCTGTCCAGGTTCTGTTCTTACTTTCCATTCCTGCAATTTACTTGGAACAATAAGTAACATTTTGTGTATTTTATCGGTCTGACAAAGGAGCAATGGCTGTGGTTAAAGTACAGCATCATTAACCAATAGACCATAGGTTTGAACCCGCAGAAGCTTGGAAGTACTGTCAGCCCTTAAAGCCATACTCGGTAAATTAGTTACATGCATGAGTATAATGACCTTTAGAATTTCAGATCTAAGTAATAATTATATCCACAGGCATATTCAGTCGACAAAATTCTAGCCAGTGGGCTTTTGTTGAAATTTACTAGCGCTTGTTATTGATTACACTCTTCAAAAAAACTAAATACGAGTTCTTAAGATGACAGGTTTGGCGAATGAGAAGCAGATCCGTAAGCTGTGGTCACGGAAGAAAGAGTGGCATTAGTCCGTAGTTAGGATAAAAAGGGAATGATTTACAGTTCGAAAATTTCAAGATGAATGGATAAATAGGTAGTAATAAGTACCACATGCTTTTGGTACTGATACGTTTGATAGTTAATGCTTTGAAATGAAAAAAGGCAACTCATAACATCAAATTTACAGATCATGGTTTTCCTTAGATCATAAGTCATTTATTCTCTTGTGTCCCGAAGTTAAACATTGCTTTAGGACGTTGATAGCTCTACTGATTTCTCTTAATACCATTTAACTTTCATCGGAATGACAAAGTTAAATCTTATTAAGTAAGCATCAGCAAAGTGATACATTGTAAAATCGGACATTATTTTTGTGAAGTAATTTAGGAAAAATTGAATAAAAAAGCAAAGTGAGACAACTGAATCTGTGGTATATCAATTTTAAATGCGTGGATGCACTGGCGATCTACATTTCTCTGAATAAACAACAATAATGAGGTTTATCTTGGCATTCCAATCTCCAAAACTTCATTCTCTGTTACGAAGCACTTTATCTTAGTACATAACGTCAAGGCACGATCAACCCTTATTTACACACTAAATAGAATTTGAAGTAAGGATCCAAGTTTACCAAATGACAGAATTTATTAAGACATACATCATTTCTCGGTAAAATTGAGTGCGAAACAGACTCATGCCCAAAACGTCCCTTTAGATCTTGATATTTTCGAATATTCGAGAGTTATCAAGCAGACTACGGCATTAAGTATCCAATGAAGCAGGTATTTAGCTTTTTGAAATCTCGAAATGGTATTCGGAAGGAATTCAATGTTTCCATTGCACAGCCAATATTATTTGTGTAGAAATAAAAGTAGAAAATACACTTGCTCTGTACACTAACCACATAGTCACCAGCATTTGAACTTCGAGTGGAAATCCCTAGACTGCTCAGCACTGCATCCACAAATTGCTCTTTCTCAATCAAACCAACAGAAGGTATATTACGACGTCGCATAAACCATTTTAAATCACGGATATTAAGACCCATTACTGAATCCCAGTTAGCTTCATTTGACTCTAAAACTCTGCACCGGTTGCATAAAATTGTACGATCTGGAAAAATGCATCAAACACATTCCTAAAACATGTTATGGTAAGATTAACACTTCAGTTAAATTCTTTTATGTCACGTGTTAGAAGAGCGATATATATATAGGTATTTACTGAAGTTATAATTCGGGTGTTTGTCATAATATTTAAAACCCGATTCTTTACCTTTAAGACGTTTTTCTGTTTTCCACTTTTTTTACAGAATAAAGCTCCATAACTAATACAAAACTGAGATGCTTTTCTGTTGTATCCCCTGGCGAATTATGAATCATAAATCTGAGGTCCATTTATGGACAAATGTAGTACGCCTATTCCTATTGGATAGTTGTTAAATAAGTGACCTAATCGTTTCCGTGTTCCTCTTATCATACCTTTATTTTGACCTTGGAACTATTATTATTGATTACTTTCCCCCTAGCTACAGCCACATTGGCCAATCACTGTACAAATGTTATTTTTCTATTTTTGATATATGTGGTCTGTTTGGTTAGTATATATAACCCAGTATGCTTGTAAATAATGATTCATATTGCTGAGGCTGTTATTTGTGTTCTGGACTTAACGGGCTGGGCTAGGCAGATAGGAAGGACCGAATAGCACCCAAGACTGCTCGTACGTAATTTTCTGTATCATTGCACGTTCATATATATTATAAGGGCCTAGAAAACAATATGTTATAACATTTTCTAAATATTTTTTTGGATTCCAATTATTATTTTACTAGTCTTTTCCCGTTCGAATTCAACCTAATCACAGTCAGACTTGCGAAATTACGAACACCCAACTTTTGCTCATTGTGTCAGAACTAAAGACTTTAATGCCTTTCATGAGGATCGTTTATGTGTGGGTAGAAGTGAGTAATTAAGTGAATTTGCTGTGAAACTAGCAGGAAATGGAGGAGCAGCAGATGCGATTCTTAAACGTGCGTGTAATTATGCTGATAACTTCCAGCCTTTACTTCTGAAACAGCATAAGTAATTATTTACATACATTCATTGGGACTGAGATTTTACCAACCACTCGTTTACCAAATTATTGTGACTACTATAAGCAGAGATGGGTGACGCCTAGCACTGGAGTCCAGGATGCACGTTTCGCTCTATTTGTGACTCGTCAGCTGGATGCACCTACATCCCAGAGTAGATGTACACTCCGGGACTCGAATTTAGGCAATCCGCACAGGATGGGCAAATGCCGATGATCAACTGATCAATTGCAGTCCTAAATATCAATGGGAAGATTCGAACAACTAATACAAAAATAGTATGACCACTGTTTTGATTGCCACTGTCATGACGGGAGAATTGAAGGAGCACTAATAGCATTGTTCCAGCCATCCTCATATTTGGTTAATTATTTGTTATCTGACAAATTAACACACACTACTTTGGTCGAACAACTCCGCCTGTAGCTCCTCTGGGGGTTACTGCCGGTCCCAAGCCCGGGTAAAGGAGGAGGGTTGGGCATGGGGTTAGCGACCCCATCCCGTAGAAAATCAACTCGCTAAAAAAACGCTAACCAGAAAAGGTTGCTTACTCTCACCCTTTCTCTTTCTCCTGGTAATCGACTGGATCATGAAGACGTCAACGACTGGAGGAAATCACGGGATACAGTGGACAGGCAGGATGCAACTTGACGATTTAGACTTCGCGGATGATCTGGCTCTTCTATCACAAACGCAACAACAAATGTAGGAGAAAACGACCAGTGTAGCAGCAGTAGGTCTCAATATAAACAAAGGGAAAAGCAAGACTCTCCGATACAACACAATATGCACCAATCAAATTACACTTGACGGAGAAGCTTTGGAGGATGTGGAAACCTTTACATATCTGGGCAGCATCATTGATGAACACGGTGGATCAGATGCAGATGTGAGGGCGCGGATGGGCAAAGCAAGAGCAGCATACCTACAACTGAAAAGCATCTGGAGCTCAAAACAATTGTCAACCAACACCAAGGTTAGAATTTTCAATACAAATGTCAAGACAGTTCTACTGTATGGGGCGGAGACGTGGAGAACTACGAAAGCCATTATCCAGAAGATACAAGTGTTCATCAACAGCTGTCTACGCAAAATACTTCGGATCCGATGGCCAGACACTATCAGCAATAAGTTACTGTGGGAGAGAACAAACCAGATTCCAGCAGAGGAAGAAATCAGGAAGAAGCGCTGGAAGTGGATTGGGCACACCTTGAGGAAATCAGCTAATTGCGTCACAAGACAAGCCCTCACATGCAATCCTGAAGGTCAACGGAGAAGAGGAAGACCAAAGAACACATTACGCCGAGAAATAGAGACAGACATGAGAAGAATGAACAAGAACTGGATAGAACTAGGAAAGAAGGCCCAGGACATAGTGGGTTGGAGAATGCTGGTCGGCGGCCTATGCTCCTTTGGGAGTAACAGGCGTAAGTAAGTAAGTACTTTGGTTGAACATTCCGCCTACAAAAAGCGGCTTAAATTTGATGGGTTTTATAGAACTGATGGTGTGTCAATGGGGTCATCACTCGCCTCACTTCTGGCCAACTTGTTCATGGTCTGGTCTGGAAAATGTTACATATAAACCCACAAATGACAGCCCTGGTACGGTCGAGAGTGGGAAGAGACCACTCACCCTGGCCACGCGTATATAGCCTCTGCCAGGGAAGTCCTACTCACTGCCTACTCGTGGCCGAGGTGTTGTTTACATAAATGAGAGGACGAAAAGCGAATGTCCGGCGTTTTAACCGAGTTGGTGGATATGGAAGAGTTGGAAAACTCCGATTCCAAACCAATAGTGAACATGGGCTCCAGGATCCTAAGAAAACAAATGGCGTATGAGCTTTTTATTGGTCACCGGCTACCATGGGACTGCATCTATTTACGTTGCTCTACTGATTTCTGGATTATACCTTTAGATCAAAGGCCTGGGGTGTGGCCCCCTAAGAAAACCACCTAATTTGGTTTGAGCACCTGAGCAGTATACCGTCCCACACACAAATCGAATGGTTTATGTGGCGCAAATATATCGAACTCAACAACATCCTCGAGGAGTTAAATAGCTACAACCAGTCAATTAAGTTGGCAACAGAGTCACAACTGAACTCAGAATTCCACTTCTTGGATGTTTGACTAAGCAAGACATCATATAGGTCACTACAAAGCTTGATAAGTAGAAAACCATACAGTCGATAGACAAAAAAATTCCGAGACAGATTTGATATATAACTGCATAAAATCCAACAAACAACAATAACAGCTCTCCACCTGTGTTCATTGGAAGAAATTTGAAGCCAAAAACTGTTTATAAGCAATCAACTGAAATGATATACAAAACAGGGATCCAGAGAATATCAATTAAACTCTGTCCTGGGAGTTGAAAGATCTTCTTTATGAAGAATTATGACGCCTCATGGTAAAAGCTGAAATTCTTCAGAAGCCACGAGACCGATGCCCTTTCTGACAACCAGAACAACATAGAATGTCCAGACAGTGTAAGAGGCTGGGAAGACCAGTCAAATAGCTGCTAGCATAAAGAGATACAACCAAGTGGCTTACAATGAAAGTTGTCCAGTGATATTCATTCACTAATGATAGAAACGAAGACGACAAAGATCAGTTTTATGAGAGGCTGCAGCCGATGTGCTTTCAACAAAATGGTTATGGGTGACACTACTTTACCAACAAATGTATACATGAAGCTACATGTGTTTCAACGAACCAAACCACACAGACCCAGATCGATCACATCTGGATTATTAAAAGGTTCAGAAGGTCAACGGAAGACGTGAGAACCAGGAGAGGTGCCAGCATAGCTTCAGATCACCACCTGCTGGTTGCCAAGATGAAACTGAACCTGAACATGCACTGAACAACTGGAGAAACAGCATTACAAAGGTTCAATACAACCTTCCTTCGAAATAACGACAAACTCAACGAACTCTAGATAGATATCAGCAATAGGTTCCAAACCTTACAAGATCTACTCACAAAAGAAGAAATCACTATGGAGGACAACTGGAATGGATTAAATAGGTACTAACTTCAACGTGTCAGCAGGCTCTTAGTTTCAAGAAGCATCATCATTAGGAATGGTTCTCTATCGAAACCCTGGACAAGATTCAAGAGCGGAGAAACAAGAAGACAGCAATTAAAAGCAGTCGAGCAAGAGCAGTAAAAGTCAAGACAGAATGAATACACAGAAGCAAACAAGCAAGCGAAGAGGAGCACTGGAGCTGACAAGTGGAAATACGTGGAATAACTAGCAACGACGGCGGAAAGAGCTGCAACAGAAGGCAATATGAAACAACTATATGACACGACGAATAAACTATCACGGAAATGCAACAAACCAGAGCAACCGGCTAAGAAAATAAAGGCAGAACTAGTCACTGAGTCTTAAAACAGCGTAACAGGTGGGTAGAACACTCTGAAGAACATTTGAATGAATCAACCTCACTGGACCAACCAGATCTCAAAACAACACCTTCCAACCTTCCTATAGATATCACTCCGCCAATAATCGAAGAAATCAGGATGTCCATCAGACAAATCAAGAGTGGGAAAGCAGCAGGACCTGAAAATATACCAGCCGACGCACTGACGTAAGACGTAGAAGTAACTGAAAACATGCTCCACGTTCTGTTCAGGAAGATTTGGGAAGAAGAATAAGTGCCACCAACAGACTGGAAAGAAGGATATCTCATCAAGATACCAAAGAAAGGAGATCTGGGCAAATGTGAGAACTACAGAGGCATCACACTACTATCAACAGAGTGTTATTGAAACGAATGAAAGACTTAGTGGACGCGCAACGTTGAGATAAATAGGCTGGACTCCAGTCGGTCAGTCACAACGTGGAACCTGTACGTATTTACACCACCTGCAGTTGCCATACCCCGATTAGAACAGAGAGATGAAATTGTCAGGCCACATCCCAGAATAGCACAGGTAGTAACTATCAGTGATAATGGGAAACATAACGCATCGAAGGCACGACTCGAAAATAAAGTATAAATTAGCGGAATAAAAACATAAGAAAAGTTATGAGGAATTTAGAATTTGGGGGAAGACAAAGAATGGATGCACGTGCGTCGTCGCAAACGATTTCGGGTCATATTATTCAAAGTCTCTACTCATTGGTTACGATAATCACGCGGACCCCAACCAAGTAGTCTGCACATATCAACATGGCTAAGTCCAGTTGTCAGTGACTTCATGGACTGATGCCATGTTACTGTTTGGCATCACTCAACACGTCCTAATCATCTCATTTGACGAAGATTTCCTAACCCAGGAATTGCTTACACCGTGATCCCAAACTGCACGAGCAATGCTTCAGAGATACCTGTGACTGAATACCAGTAGCCTACGAATATCCTTTGCTTTTAATGGTCATGTTTCACATCCACAAAGTAGAATGGAGAGAAAATTAAGTAATTATTCCAACATTCAATGATACTTTTTTTCCATATTTATCAAATAGATAACTATCTATCGTCTTTAAACTGCTTCCATCTTAACGTTTCCTCATTAGGTACTAGATTACTACATAACTTCC